CATCTCTGCTTCCTTGTCTGTCAAATCAGAGGACTAATATTAGATAGGATCTTCATAGGGATTAAATGCAATCATGTTTTTAAAGCACATCACCTGTGGGAAGCCCTCAGCAAATGGTAGCTATAAAGCAAAATATGGTAATAAAAAGGTGAACCCTTTCATTTTATGCTGCAAGAAAAACCGACCTCTAGCAAAATGGTATAAGATGGCAGCATTTTGAAGGATTCCATATTCACTACTTGGGTATTGTTTCTATTGGTAAAAATAAGTATGCGCGAGAGTTCTGCGCTTGTTTTAGCCTGAGAGAATCCACGGTCCAGCTGACTTTGTTTGTGTCCTGTAGGCAGCGCAAGCAACAGATCCAGCACCCGGAGCCTCCTCAGCGTGAGCAGCGGGATGGAGGGGGACAATGAGGTGAGAACCAGGACTTCCGCCCCCATCTGTCTTGTCCTAGGGGTCAGTTCACTGCAGGAAATAGAAACCCAGGTGAAAGAAGCCAGACACAAAAGATCACATAGTATAGAATTTTGTATATATGAAGTGTCCAGAATAGGTAGTTTCATAGAGATGGAATGCAAATTGGTGACTGCCAGGGGCTAGGGAGAGGGGGAAATGAGGAGAAACAGCTCAATGGGCACAGTGTTTCCTTTTGGGGTGACAACAATGATTTGGGACTAGATAGAGGCAGTAGTTGCACAACATGGTGAATGTACTGAATGCCATTGAACTGTTGACTTTATAATGATTAAATTTATGTTATGTGAATTTCCCCTCAATAAAAAAAGGAAGGAAGGAAGGAAGGGAGGGAGGGAGGAATAGAAATCCACCCAGGCGAGTTAAGCTAAAAGGCACAGGAAGCCAAAAAGAAGAAGGAAGGAAGGAAGGAAGGAAGGGAGGAAGGGAAATCCACTCAGGCGAGTTAAGCCAGAAGGCGCATCTGCAAGCAGGAGCTGGATGACCCTCGGAATCCGGGGTCAGTGATCACACCTTGGGGCCTGGATCTGGAGTGGCGGGACCTGCCAGAGCCGAGGCCACTGCTGTGCTTCTCGGGGGCCACATGCTCTTTTGTTTCTGTACATATCTGCGTTCTTCTCTCAAAGCTGCCTGGCCTTTTCTGCCTCTCCACACGGACAGTGGCAGATAGTCCCCTGAGAGCCACAAGGCTTCCATGCACAGTAGCTGCCTGCCTTAGGCCGAGGCCCAGTTTGGGCTTATGGTTCTCTCCTGATCCAGGGACCAGTGGCTGGGATTGAGTGGGAGGGGTCACAGGGACCACCAAAGANCAGTTTGGTAAATGGCAGTCTGGTGCTTTGAAGCTTATCCCTTTTTCCCCTAATTCCAGCCTTGGAGATCACTGTCCCAATCCGGCACTCACAGCACCTGCCCTGGAAAGTGGAATTTGGAGTCTATGAGAGTGGCCCCAGGAAAAGCGTCTTACCCCCAAGAACAGAGCTGAGACGAGGAGACTGGAAGACAGACAGCACCTCCAGCACAGCAAGTGAGCAGGCTGACCCTGGGGTGCCTTCACAGCTGGACTCCAGCTGGCACCTTTGGGCCTTGGAAACAAGCTCTGTTATGAGCCCAGCTGATCACAATTGGAGCCTGACTTGGGTTTGGGAGGTATAAGAAATGGGGGACATTTAAGCTGTGAGTTTTGCCTTTTTTCAGGGACCAAAGACCCATGACACAAATATCCCCTGAGGCCAGATTGCATGATAATTATCATGCAATCTGGCCTCAGGGGATTATTTTATAAATAGAAAAACCTAGTAATAATATTAGTTAGCATTTATTGAGCATTTACTACATGCTAAGCCTCTTCCATAGATCCTCTGGTTTAGTTCCCGCAATGACTCTATGGGAGAGTTGCTGGCACCTCTCTTTGCTGAGGAGGAGGCTGGAGGCTAAGTGCCTTGCCCTTGGTTTACGAGCTAATAACTGGGAGGGCTGGGGTTTGAACTCAGACAGACTGGATCCAGGGCCAAGACTTTTTACCACGATTCTTTTTGCTTCCTTTACTGTGGTCAGGAGAGAGAAAGGGCATCAAGTTAGAAACATTAGCAAATGATGGACTCAAATGTGAGAATTCCAACTTTATAGGTTGAGGATTTAATTAGGAAATATCTTCCTTTTGGCTTGAAAGCTTGAATAGGAGTCTGATTGCAATACACAATACACACTGAGGTGCAGACAGGAGGCGGGGGCCTTGTTTCCATACCCAGGGTTCTGTTAGCTGACTTCACCACCTGAGCAGATTGAGTTTCCTTTCTTTCTTATATTTTACTGTTACCAAAACAGCTAGGAGTGCCATACAAGAGCAAGAGACAAGCCGAATTTCAGGACTCATGTCTCCTTAAATGTCAGGCAGAGAACCCCCAAATGGATGTTGGAACAGGAAGGTCATCAAACCCAAAGGTCGTTAACCTTTTTTGTGTCACAAACCCCTTTGAGAATCTGACATGTGCGCTGGATGCACTTCCCAGAAAAATGCACGCACATACACACGCCTTTGCCCATCCACGGACCTAGGTCAAGAACAACTGAACTAGTCTCCCTCCTTACTTTATAGATGGATGTAGATGGCTATAGATGGAAGATTTGCAACCCAGAAATAGAAAGATTTACACAGCCAGCTGAGTGGCAAAATGGGAGAAGAGCCCAGCTCCTCTCAGTTTAATGTTCCTGCCACTATTACCAGTCAAAACAGACCCAAAACATATCACAAGACTACATGAGAAGTCTAGACTGAACAGATGAGAAAACCTCCCTTTACATTATGGGGATGATACTATGTATTCAAAACCCCCTTGAGGCAATTTAGAGAATTTTAACAAGATCAGAAATGAGGGAGATTTTTCCAGTGATCACAAGTGACCCAGGAAGCAAGGGGTAGGGAGCACATCTCTCAGACTTATCGTGGAGGAGAGGCGAAGTGGTATAGACCCTCTCAGGGTGGGGGCCGTGCATTCCAGAGTGGGGGGATGGGGGTTTTAACAAGACAGATGTAAAGTCCTCATTTCAGGTGCAAATTAATTTCAAAGATTTTATGCCTGTGTTTTACTTTGAGTTAGCTTGGGGTGAGAACAGAATGGAAAGCATCAACTGTGCTCCTTTCCTTGTGCAGTGGTTAATTGCCCAGGGATGGTTAGCTCATCAGGATAGAAAATGTGATTAAATGACAGACCCTACTCTGTGGCTGTAGACTGCATCCCATCCCTGTTACGTGGTTAGCTATTACTGTGTAACAGACCACCCCAAAATGGAGTGGCTTGAAACATAACCATTCATTTACGCCTGATTGTACACCTGGGCAGGACTCATTGGGGATGGTTCATCTCCGCTCCATGTGGGTCAGTTGGGGCCACTCATGAGACGGTACTCAGCTATAAGCTTGGCTTGGACCATCCAAGATGGCCTCTCCTCCTTAGGGCCTCTGTATATATGACCTCTGAATCAGTAGCCTGAACTTCTTACATGATAACATGATCCATAAAAGGAACATTCCAGAAGGACAAGCCCCAATATACAAGTGCTTGTTGTGCAAGGAGGCAGAATGAGGATGGCCCAGCTCTGATGCAGCAACTGCCTCTTACCCCTCAAAGTCCCCTCCTAAAACAGCACTATTTTTATTAAGGTGTGTCTGTCATTTCCTGTGAACCGTAGAAAAACAGTTATAGGTTAAATCTGATTATAACTCAAATCTCAAGCCCCAGAATATTAATGTTATGTTTAAGGGAACAAAAGTTTCATCACAGAAAGACTGTTGGCTTTTTCCTAGATTGTCTGATCCAAATTTCTTAAGGATCATATATTTGGTCGTTTTTTGCTCTCATGCTTTCCTCTACCAAATACTGGGGACTGCTCTGTGCATACTGAGCTAGACTGTATAGTGGAGACATGAAGATTAAAAACAGATGAAGCCTGTCTTCAGGTGATTGTCATGGAGGAAAGTACAAAAGT